GGCATTTGTGTATGTTAATGTGAGTTGCCATTCCTTAACATCAGAGATTCCAGCAAAGTACTAATAATTACTGTTAATATCTTTCAGTGGAAACTTTCAGAGTGAACGAGCAATGGTTGAAACAGTATTTAACGGCATGCTGCTGGCATGATAAGAATGCAAATAAGCGTTATTAGCCTAATCATTTTGCTGTCGCCATGGCTGTGCAGCAACAGTGTTGTGAATATGTCATGCAGCACCCGTGAATTTGGAAAGTGTGTCAAAACACAACTTCAATTAGTTTGCTCTAATTATGGCTCTAGAGAGTTTGTAACTATATCACTCCTCATTAAAAGAGATTTTCTTATATGGATTAATGTAACACAGAAAGGAAGGGCTCCGAATTCCAGTGCGGAGCTGGCTTCCGCAGAGAGGAAGCCCGCAGACAGCATGGCATTGTTTGGGGAGGGCTGGCGGTGTGCGGGTCCCTGCGCACTTGGCCTTGGGCCACAGGAGCGAGCAGCACCTGAAACCCAGTCCCTTGTGCCCCAATTTGTGGAGTGCCTCCAATAGGAGTTTACTCTGCTGTGGTGGGGAGCAGCCGCATCCCTGCCTGCCTTGGGGACGCAGCATGGTTGACAGCAAGGGTGAGCTGCGCGTAGGCCGGGTGCCTGCCATTCAGCAGTGATGCACCAGCAGTCTCGGCTCACGCTCAGCCCGGCAGCCCCTCTCCTTTGCAGCTGGAGGGATGCCCGCCACTTCTGCAGCGTCTGATAAACCTGCCTCAGCTGCCTCAGCCAGCCGCCTTCATTTCCCGAGGGTGAGCAGTGGCGCTGGCTGGGCTGCGAGCCATGCAGGAGGTCTGTGGGACGGGTCGCCAGACCGCAAAGTGATGCAGATAGGAAGGAGCAAACAGCAGAGGAGCTGAGCATAGAAATGCCTGCTGCATCCCTGCCCATGCTCCCGGGAGAGCGAGGCCTGTGGGTAGGCAGTGGCAACCGCAGCAGGAAGCCCCTGCTAACCCCACCTTGCTATACCGCTTTTGTCAGCGCCCTCCAGGTACCCTGCAGCTGTCCCGACAGCTTGACAGCCCAAGCTATGCACATCCTAACCTGGCTGTGCCCAGAGGTCTCGCTCCCTAGGCAGGCTTGGCATGGGAGAAGTTCTTGCCAGCTAATTAAAGAACTTGTGCTAAGGGTTAATGTTAAGTAGTCCCAGGTGTGCAGAGCATCAGAAACCACATTCGGTCTGACTTCGTTTGAGTAGAAACCACACAGCATTAAGTGTCAGCGCCGTTCCCTTGCTCAGGTCAAGTCCGTGGGTTATCGAGAATTCCCTTCTTTCTGTGCAAACGTGTTCCTCCCTCGCAGCGCGGGTGTGCAAGTTCTTGAGCTCACAGGTGAGCAGTTGGTAATGGGTTAAAATAGTAATTGTTTAAATCTTCCAGGCTTTCCTCCCAGTTCTGTGATAATTTGATGAAGAACTTCACCCTAATTAAATATTCAAATTAGGAATAAGTGTCAATATGGCTTCCCATTGCCTGGAATGATGATTAATTGTATTCAAAACTCTAGTGGCCACTGTAATCTAAACCAAACCGTTGTTCTTGATTATTTCTGCAGCACATTTACCATGTTTTTGTTTTAAAATTTCAACCAGTAATTGATTTGCCATATGCCACAGAGCTGTGCATACTTTCGCGATATGTGTTTAGGAACTTGGGGACTTTGTAATTGGGATTTTCTTGCTTTTCAGTGGCAGCCTATTTTTTTTCTTTCTACCATGCAAAATGGTTTGGCTTTTACAGGCCATAAGGAAAAGGCATTATGCAATCAAGTTAGTAGGTATATGTTTTATATTGATCCTGGCCAAACCCTTGCATTAATTCAAAATAAATTAGGCTTTGTTTCCTGGTTTTTCCCAATGTGACACTTAAAAAACCCCAACAAACCCCCCCAAAAAACACATTAGACTGAAAGGCTCTAATCTGATGCTCTCGGCGTTACCCTGCCTTGTGGTCTTGCAGCTGCGTTTGCCTCTCAGAGAAGCCCTTATGTGCTCCCACTCCTGCAAGCACGAGCCCCGTGTATCGCACTGTAGAGAGTGGGTGCTGGCAGTGGGGTTAGATGAACGGGGAGGGAGAATCCAAGCACATCTGTTCTTACTTGTGAACATGCCCCGTTAGGTGGTGCTCAGGGCCCTACAGCATTAGGTTAGTACTACCACTTGCGCTGGAGCAGCTCTTTGTGGCACGTGGTCTCCAGAAGCAAATCAGGCTCCTGAATGGTCACCAAAGGCAAAATCAAATGACAGGTTCATGTTTAATGTCCATACATCGCTCAAAAATCTGACCACGCCAAATCCCATTTATTTTTCATTTTAAATGCACTAAAGTCATCGTGGATGTGGTGCTGAGCTAGCAGGCAAGATGGCAAGACAGGGATGACCCTGCCTCGGTCAGACTGTCGGACAAGAAAGTTTACTAAGGGCCCTTCCAGGCCTACTTTTGTGGGACCTGAACACACGACCTGCTACTGCTCCACTGAACGTGGTCAGAGCCTGTGAGACTGTGAACAGTTCTTCTCCAGTACGTCCATGGAGCGTATGTGCCGCTTGCACATATGTCACTTGCATGATCTGCTGGAAGGACATGGTCCTGATCAGGGACTTCACTCCTAGGGCATGTCCCAAGTCAAGGATTCAGTGAAATTCCTCTTCGAGGGTCACAGGCTTTATGGACAGTTAAACTCCCAGCAGTGTCATCTGTACGATTGCATACAGAGGAGTTTGTTTATTGCTTGCATAGACCCGTGATTTCCAGACCCACAGCTTGGTCCCAGAGCAGGCGGGTCTGCCATTGTCCAAGACCATTTCCTGAAGAGCGTGGTTCACATGGAGCAGACCCAAAGTTGGCACTCCCTGGTGAATTCCCTGCACCGTGGATGCCTGATTTAATCAGACAGCAGCAAACACTTGAAACACTTTGTTGAGAAATGTGCTCTTTGTTTGCCGGGGGTCTGCTCTGTGCAGCTCCTGCGCCCCTCCCTGGTATGACTGTGCACGCAGAGGGAAGATGAGAACAGACCCCACCAGAAGCAGGAGACATTCAGAAAGCATGGTTAGCCATCTGGAGGTCTCAGAAGTACATTTCTGGATGATTTCATTTAAAACCTAATGAAAAGTGCATAATTCGTAGAAGTGGTAGGCTTCATATGCAAAGAGTGTTCATGACAAACCTGCCTTTACTGGCAAAGGCAGCCCCATATGGATTGTGTTTTGAAAGGAAACCTGTTGGCCAAATTTGAAGATGTTTTCACATGGTCGTTCTCGTTTTATTTTTAATTTTAAAGGAGGTCTGGAAGCACAAACACATTCAGAGTGGTGTTTTACCTCTTACATTCTGAAGGACTCATCATTGCCAACATCATGTTTTTAGACTCTCTCTGTTCTTTACAAATATGTCCAATTTCGAAGGTACAAGTTTCCAGCTGATTTGTGTAATAATGCTCCGTGCTGGCCGGTTCAGGGCGCTCTTTGTTGCGAGTATGGGAACTACAGCTAAAAAAGGGTAACCTGCTTTTCTGGTAAAAGAGCCTCACAAAATCCCTGCTCCTGTTTGTGTCACTCCAAAACGCGGGACGCCGACAGCTGCCGCCTCTTTCCTGTGTGCTACCAAGTCACTGTTTTGAAGAGGGCTGCATCTTCGTCACAAGCAACAGTGGGTCCATAAAGGTTATGATGCATAATAAAAGCTTGCACAGACCTGGAATCAGCACTAGAAAGTACAGATTTAAATTACAAAGGAAAAGCCAGAATCTCCCATCCAGGCCTATAAATCTGCACACAGCCGATATTGGCTCCAGTAACTGAAGGCTTCTGTCTGGCGCTGTCTCTGGTTCAGCTTAGCAGCCACTTTGATTGAGTCAAGTACCAAAGGCTGACGTAGGAGGGACGCGTTGCTCCTACGTTCACGTGGCTGGAGCAGGTGGCAGGAGAAATGTGAGACTGGCGTTCCCATGTCCTGCCCGTAGCACAGAATATGGGAGGCAGGTTGGTTTGCTGCCCCTGTGAGAGGTCTGGGCATTGAGTGGGACATGGTGTCCCATGGCAGCAGGTCTAAGCCTAGCTCCCTAGATGGGGCTTACCCTCGCAGCTCCCTGCCTGTCAAATGGGTGATTTAGGGCTTCTTTTTTCCCTTGTTGCCAAACAGCCAGTGTGAATAATAAGCCCGTCGACTCCAGGTTTTGAAACTCATCTGCATGCCAGCAGCCACCAGAAAGGACCTGCTTTTCTGGCCCCCAGACCCACTGGCAGAGGGGTTCAGGTTTCGGCTCCGTGCCCCTGGCTAATGGGTTCTGGGGAGATTGCTGCCTTCTCCAGCCCAATCTGGGCATTTCTTCCCACGCAGAGAGGTTTCCTCTCAGTACTCGGGGCATTGTCCTGAGGCTGGTGCTGGCTGGGCTTGCAAGTGGTGCATGGCGGAGGCCCCGGGTTGCCGAAGAGTAGTTGGATGGCTTCCAAGCTCTGAAAGGAGGAGAAAAGCAACCCTGCCCAAGTCTGTGTGCTTGTAACAGGGGAGCTGTGCTCCACATGACTGCTGACTCTGAACCACACTCACGCAGGCCTCTCCGGCCTGATCCAAGGACTCCCGGTTAGGTCGGGAGCACCTGTCCTTGGGGCAGGCTGCTGGCACGGCCTGCATCTTCACAGGCAGTGCTCCTGATGGGCTGCAGCATGCAGTGTGCCCCAGGCACCCAGCACTCGTTGTAGGTGCTGCAATGTTGGACTGAGCATCCAGCTCCTCACACGCATCCCCTGACCAGGTGGCAGGTCAGGAGTGAGGAGCCGGTCCCCACCTCTGCCTTACCCGTTGTGGGCCCATCGTGCCCTTTGCAGGCTCTGAGTTGCCATTCACCATGTCCCATGACTGGAGTCGTGCACGGGCGGGAGGCGGAGTGATGGCTGTGGCTCCTCCTGCTCTGCAGTAACGTCCCCTCTGTTTCTCCCTCTTGCTCCCACAGGCACATATCCCTGACGCTCCCTGCCAGCTTCCGAGGCAAAGGCCACAGCACGCGACTCGACCTGGAGCACCAGCACTCGAACTTGTATGCCATCTCAGGTGAGCTCGCGGCTTCTGTCGGGGCCGGGCCAGGCACGAGCATCCATGGACCAGCCTTCCAGGATGTCTGCCACTGTCACTCCAACATCAGGAGTGTGTGGCCTGAGGAGTCACTGCAGAGGAGGAGCAGGAGGGGTGTAGCTGACAGGGAGCCTTGCTGCTCCCAGTGTGGTGCAGCCCGGGAGTGAGGGCGCAGGGAGGGGAATTGCTAGAAAGTTTTCGTTAAACCTCATACTACTGCTTAGCCCCCTCTCCCCACTCTCCTTTTCCCGTGGTCCTCACAGGTAAGTCATCAAGCCGCATCTTCTCTCCAAGCCAGGCAGACGTTATTCACAGATGCTCTGCTCGTGTCCCGACCCCCTCCAGCACCACCATCGAATTGAAACAGCTCCTCCCAGACCCAAACACTGTGTAGATAGAGTCCCCACCACACACTGGGGTAGACTGGAAAACACCAGATTGCTTGGGGGTTTTCTCTTTTTAAGGGCTTTGTCTTTCTCAATTTCTCTCTCCTTTCGTGGCTTGTTCCTTCTCGCTCCCTTCATTCTTTCTACTCCCCTGGACTTGTCTCAACCCACAGCAACTACTACAGTCCAAAGTAGTGCTGTGATTCAGAAATCCTTCTCGGTTGGTTTTAGCACGACTGCCATCAGGTGTGATTAGCCGTTGCTTTCTCTACAGCGCGTCATGTTCGCATGCAGAGGAAAGCGTATCATTTAAACTTAGTCTGGCCAAATGTAGGTCGCCACCCCCACCCCCCCCCAGCTGTGGTTCATCTGCAGGGTTGTGCAGAGCACCAGCCGGGGCTGTGCAGTAGGTAGTGCCTGTGCATAATAAAGGAGGAGAAGGTGGCAAACCTCAGCCATTCAGAAGCTCTTTCTGTTAACAGTGAGTGACACTTCTAACATGGGAACATGGCACTAATTCATGTACCCTAATCAAATGGTTATTTAAAAGGTAATCTCTCACTAAAACTGCAGCTTCAGGTTCCTAAATAGATGGAATATAACAATGGCATAATTCTTGTCAGTATTAGTTTTTCTCGTTACTTTCCTACCCTAATAGATTTGGAAATGTAGGGGAAGTGTGTTCTTGTGTTCCCACAAGACAGTTCTGGAGGGGGAAGGGAAGGGAAGGCCGTGAGTTCCCACTTGATGAAACCCCAAGCACACATGTAAGCAGGGAGGAAATATCTCTGCCTGAGCGCTGCTTAAAAGACCCTTTGCTGCAGGAATTCCTGTAGACTGCTGCTTCCTGCAGTATAACAAGCTTGGAAAGATGACCTATTTTACACAGATCCTGAATATTTTACCAGATGTTTACAGGCAAAATGCAAATCAAGCCTATAAAACCAGGCACAGTAATAGATCTCAACATTTGCACAAGTAACTTTCAATCAAAATGTGTGCCTCTCTCTTCCAACTGCAAATCCTCCTCCAGGCACATGGTTATACAAGTTGTTGTGCTTACATATGTTGTAATGGCTATTGCAGCTGTGGAACATTTCCACAGAAAAGGTCTCATAATGCAAAACATCCTGTGCATTGGCAGGAATCTTCTCGCATACCTTCTGACCACGGCTGCCTTTTCAGCCCTCTTGATGAGGTGCCGTCTGTGACAATTCCCTCTGTGTGCTTTAACATTATAAAGGTAAGTTCACCTCAAGACTCGCAGTGATAGCCATTCCAAAATTTCCTGTTATGTCTGTGTAATTTTGAGTTGATCGAGTTTATCTACAGCACAGTGTTAGTGTCTTGCCATGGTAACAGGAACCTTATGAGTGCTTTTCTGCTGGACTCTGGTAATTGCTCTGTTGGGATCGAGATTTGCTGAGGTAAGGTACTGGTTGTGACACTCCAGGGTTTGCTCCCCCACCTTGCAGTCTTGGAGCTCACCCTGGAGGAAAGACAGCAGTAGATACTGGTAATGAAACAGAGTCCTTCAGAGGACGCTGGCTAGAATTGTTGGGTGGGAACTCTGCCGTCATCAGAGAGCAATTGAAAGCCAATGCTGGCGGGTAATCTTGAAGGCACTGGGAGCAAGCGCAAAGAGTCTGGATGTCCTGTTTGCTTAGAAAGTCCGAAGGGTCCGCCGTGCCGTGAACTGTCCAACAGAGCTGCTCCTCAGGCCCCAAGAGCGCTCATCTCACCCGGTCCAGACCCCCTGCTGCTGCTTAGGAGCTGCTGTGAGCCAGTGTTTCTCATCAGTTCTGTTGCTCTGGAAGGACAACAGTAATTTTAGGTACTAGAGAAAGTGCTAGAGAATTTCAGGTGCTAGAGAAGTGACCGGCTCTCTGGTCACTGTGTAGTTACACATTTGTGCAAGTTGGACTCGGTTGCAATTGAAATGCAGTTCTGTTTGCAGATCTGCATTGTTCCATTAAGCCTCAGGACCAGCTGAGCAATAGGTGTATGGAAACGGAGTGAGTCTGAAACCTGTTCTTCCTCTGCAGCGAATGGGGGAGTAGCAGCCAAGTGTCCGTGAAATATGCATGTCTTAGGTTAACTCAGCTATGCACTCGATAGCAGGGTCTCTCCTGGCCGCAGGGTCAAGGAGGCTCTGAACTACCAAATTCCCTCCTTTTTGCACAGGGCCATGGCTCTGGTGTGTGATGCCCTCCCAGCCTGCAGGCAGCGGTCAGGTGCAGCGCAAGGTGGCTCTCTGTATACCTGGTAACGGAAACCAGACGTGTTGTGAGAGCAAAGGTGGCACCGTCTGAGCACCAGGAAGTTTGGGGTGCGCCATCGTTTTTTCCTTTAGCATACACGGGCAGACCTGGCTTTTGCATGCCAGTCCATCCGTCTCCCTCGCAGTCTTGAGTGGTGTTTGAGCATTGCTGGATGGTTAGCTATTTAAAAACATCCTAGTGTACAAGGGGTTGCAGCTGTGTTAAGCTTTGGGGGTGTTGTACTGGGTAACTAACCCGCATAGCTCCTGCCCCTTTCTGGACCCTGTGTCTTCTGCAGGGACAGTGGCTCAGCTGAAAGCTGTGGTGTTTGTAGCCGGTGCTGTTTGAGAGAACATTCAGCTTTGCTGCTGTGGGTAGTTGCCCTCGCTTCAGGGTGCACAGCGCTTCCGCATAGCAGGAGAGGAGCTGCGGTGGGGTGGCCAAGCAACCACAACACGAGGTATCCATGAGGAGCACCAGCCCCAAGACCTCTGGGCGAGGAGCATGGGGCTGGCACGTAGGCAGGCCCCCGGGTTGGGTAAGCTATGCGTTTCTTTGCATGGGATCCTGGTTGTTGGCTTGGACTCACCTAGCTGTGTTCAGGAGTCTGTAGATGGCTTGATCTGCTGGTAGAGGAGGTCCGGCTCGCTGCCTTGGCTGTCATGGACTTGGGAGCTTTCCTGACCAAGTGATTCTGACAGCATCATAGGAAAGCAACAGCAAGTGCAAATAATTGATGATGGTTGAATATCTGCTCCTCCCCCACCCCCCAGCTTTAATCTAGTCCTCATGTAAATGGCAGACGGGCAGTTTGTTATAAGTATCCTGGGTCTCTTTTTCTCCTTCCCCCTCCCCCCCATATTGAGAGCTTCAACCACTTAGTCTGGATTTTTTTCGTTTGATTTTAAAGGCAGATCTCATCTTGCGCACAGGGCAGTGCAATTCCCGAATGTGTGCAATGCTTGTCCCGGCTCTGAGCACACAAAGCCAGGCCCCATCCAGTGCTGGCGTAAACCAATGCAACCCACTCGAGTCTGGGCTGTGTTCCTTTCTGTCTGCAGCTGAATGACAAACTGGAGGAACTCGCCCTCAGAATAGCTAGTTCAAACCCAGATGTTATAGGGCTGACAGAGACGTGGTGGGACTCGTCCCATGACTGGGCAGTTAACATTAGGGACTATAGGCTGTACAGGCGCGATAGAGAAGGTAGGAAGGGGGGGGGTGGCAATCTATGTCAATGAGCACTACACATCCTCTGCCAGCAGAATGGGGTCAGAGGAAGGGCAAGCTGAAGTGCTCTGGGTCAAGATTCAGGGGGGGCAGGGGGAGAGGGATTTGACGGTGGGGGTCTACTACAGACCCCCCAACCAAGAGGAGGAGCTGGACAGGGAATTTTCAGGCCAGCTTGCAGAGGCACTAAAATCAAGGGATGTAGTGGTCATGGGCGATTTTAATTACCCAGACATCTGCTGGGAGGAGCAGTCAGCCGGGA